GCGGCGGCGCGATTTAGGGTTCGCCCCTCCCGCTTGCAGCAGTGGGTCAGGACGAGGTGTATTTTATTTTAGGTTATGTTGGCAAGGCTTAGCTTTATTCACCAATTTATTAGCACATTCTTAGACATCATCAGCGTGTGAGGAAACACCAATACTTTTGTTAATAAACTTCTATGTTGCGCACGCTAGTACTGCTATAGGTATTCAGAAAAGGCCTAAAATTCCCTCAGTTGCACGCATGATTCCCCGTGAGCTAAATGTAAGGCACAAAAATACAGTAGTTAATAAGACACCAAACGACCAAACTATTTCTAATTTCACACACACGGGCCCTCAACTTCCCTGAAGTAGGAACATATCGTAGATATGAATCAGTGCCCAGAATGTAACGAGGCAACCAATGTATATAGTACCTCGACCATCTCGACGGAGCCAGCCTGCTCGAATAGGCCGGCTAGCTGGGCGCTGTCGACGCTGAAGGGGAGGTTGCCAACGAACACCCTTAGGTCCTCCGAGAACTCATGGGCGACCTCAGTCTCGACATGTGACGACACGGACACGGCCAAGGGCGCGAGCGGGTGCCTCCAGCCCGCGGAGGCGTGCGCACGGTGCAGCGGGGTCTTCGAGGGAAAGAATGCGGAGGGGGCCTGCTTAAATGAGGAGGAGGAGGAGGGGAGGGAGAGGAACTGGGGGGAGAGGGAGATGGAGAAGAGCGTGGCCGCCATAGGGAGGATTGGGTTGATCGTGTTTGGGGGGATAAGGTTTGAGTCGGGAGAGAATGCAGCTGAGGAGAGAACGACAAGTCGGGAGGGTTTTATATGGGAGGGGTACTCCTGCAGTCCTGCTTATCCCATAGTCAGATTCCTATATGAACCTGGGCTCAGCGATTTAGGAATTCTGGCCGTGCAATCTCTCCCTTGATGCGATTTGGTCCGTCGGATCTACCCCGGGATGAGCTCGGCCGTTGGATAAAATTGATAGATGCGCAATGAGCAGTGATTTTGTTTTCTCACCTCACTATTTTGGTCCTATGTCTCTGAATGATGGGTCCGCGTGGCTCATGGGCCACCTTTATCTGTGGCTGTGGCACGGAAACCGCTGGGTTCGGTCCTTCTGTCGGTGTTTTGGGATCGGGGTACCCAGATATGCCTGTCTACGGCCTACGGTGTGCCTCCCTCGACGGCCTGGTACGGCCCAGCGGCAAAGCCTCCAAGACAAGACCCTCGCGAGCCCCCCCCCCTCCCACCCTCCCGGCCTCGCGAGGAGAACAACAACAGGACCTCCAGAGGGGCGGCCTCCCCAGGTTGCCTATCAAGGAACAGAGATTTCTATGCAGGTACCCAGCCTCACGAGGCTGCGATGACGTGAGCCATGACGATCAAGGGCAGGCGGGCACCAGCGGGCGCAGAGGAGGTAGTTTCCTCTTTGGTACTAAGGAGGCAAGGACAGACGCTGGTTCCGAGGAAATCCCTTTTCCAATTCGGTGCAACAAGACCAAGACCACGAGCTCGGTAGGACAGATGTCGTCGTCGAGCCCACCCCTACGCCTGGACTAGAAGCTTTGCAGGCGAAGACCACCTTACGTCAGGATTAGATGTACTTTCTGCCACCCTTTCAAATTGGCCACTGTGGGATCCCTTCCCGCCTATGTTTTGAGAGAAAAGGACCAAGGCCACTATAAATATAGGCTAGCGACCACCATAGAAGGGGATCCAAGGATTCGATCGGACCCCAGACCAATTCATCCTCACCACCAGAGCCCTCACGAGGTTGCTCATCCACTGTACTAGTTCATCTTCAGCCTCCTCTGGAGGCCAATCCACCACAAAGCGAGAGTACGGTTTTACACCGCAAGGTGGCCCGAACCTGTATAAACTGACGTGTTCATCTTCTTCCCCGCTTACGCGAACTCGACGAGGCTAGGCTGTGGGGTGGTGAACTTGGGACTTGAGCTGGTTGAGATCTTCGCACACGCCCTAGAGTTTGAACTTTTTTGGGTCTCCCGAGCCCCAAATCCGACATTTGGCGCGCCAGGTAGGGGCGTGTCGGAATCTTCCTTCCAATTCTGCTTTGTCTCCGCTTCATCGTCCCCATGGCCGACGCACGCCGAGTCCGCACCGAGTGCCCGGCTGCTAGCATCGCCCAGATGGCGCCCGTAGGCCACGGCGCCCCGCGCCGCTCTGCCTCTCTCGCAGCTAACGCTGCCACTGACCCTGCTGCTCACGAGCACTAAGATTCGTGGCTGCCACCCCCCGCGCCGCACCGCCACTCCGTCGCCCACACCCGTCACGACATCATCCTCCCACGTCCGCCGTGAGCCGGCAAACGCGCAGGTTGCACTGCTCGTGGCGCGTGAGCTGCTACGCTACTGCCCCGCCAACGACCGCTACAAAGACTGTTGGCCGCATCTCTGAGCTCATCAACGCTGTCGGCGAGGTCCCTGCGTCGTCTCGCTCGCTCTGTCCCCCGCCATCCCAGGCGGGCTACATAGCCCATGGCGCGCCCCTTCTCCTCCTCTGCGCAGCGCCGACCACGAGCCCAGGCGCAATGCGCAACCACACGACCCGCCGCGTGGGGCGCCGACACGGGATGAGGCAAGCTGCCAGGTGGTGTAGCGGCCACAAGGTGACACACGTGCGCTCCCAGCGCCACCACGCCAGCATCAGGAACGTGCGCTGCCAGAGGCTGCAGCGCACGGACGTCAAGACCGAGCTCCACACGCGCATGTTGCGCCCGTGAGTGCAGTGGGCTGTCGTGTCTTCACCCTGGAGTTGCGACGCGTCGCCTGGCCTGGCAAGTTAAAGCCAGACCTGCCTCCACACTACGACGACACCCCTGACCCTGCGGAGTTCCTCTAGCTCTACTCACTAAGCATCGAAGCGGCAAACGGTGACGAGAAGGTCATGGTGAACTGGTTCCCCATAGATAAGTCTCCAACATATCTACTTTTCCAAACCCTTTTGCCCTTGTTTCGGACTCTAATTTGCATGATTTGAATGGAACTAACCCGGACTGACGTTGTTTTCAGCAGAATTGCCATGGTGTTATTTTTGTGTAGAAATAAAAGTTCTCGGAATGACCTGAAACTTCATGGAGACACTTTTTGGAATT